AATAAAAAAGCACCCCAAATAGAGTATAAATATGGATGTGCAAATGAATGTCAGATTCAGTGGTTTTAAATAGTACTGTGTGATTAGTTTCACACAGTTGACAATCTGTTCAAAGGAATGGTGCAAACTTATGGTGAGTTCTTTCTTTATTGCTTTCTCATCCATTCTTACGACATTTATAAATTATACAAGCTTGCATAGTTGCACCCACTCACAACTATTTTTCTTTCAGAGATTATTAGAAAATATTACTTCACTTGCTAGCTTGTCAATTCTCACTTGCCATTTGCTTTCTAGGTTTGCTAATTAAACTACTTCAAATATGTTTTATAAACAGTCTTCCCAACATACCAGCACAGCAGATGAAGTCATTAGATAAAATGCTTTAAACAGTGTTAAGAGTAGGGACAGATTCTAGGCATCTCCCCTTCCTTTCCTTGAGTAAGTGCCATTGTTGCTGGGCTATGAAGTTATGTTCACTCCTGTGCTTGCTCTCACCTTATCTACACAGTGGCACATTTTCAATTATGAGGAGTGGTCTCATCTAAGAGTAGCTTAGAGCCTCATAGGTTCATAGGGAAGTAGGGCTGGAAGGGAGCTCACAAGGTCTGTTCCAGCCCCCTGCTCAAGACAGGATCATTCCTAACTAAACCTCTCAGCCAGGCATCTAAACTGTTTTTTTTAAGTTTCCAAGTAAGGAGATTCCATAACTTCTCTAGGGAGCCTGTTCTAATGCCTAACCACTCATAGAGAGTTCATTCTAATCTCCAGCCTAAATTTCCATTGCTGCAGCTTGAGGCCATTGCTCCTAGTCCTGTCCCCTACAACCACAGAGAAAAATCCATCTCCATCGTTTCTATATTTATTCTTCAGGTATTTAAAGACTATTATCAAATCCTCCCTCAGTCTTTTCTTCTTCAAGCTAAATAACCCTAGTTCTTTCAGCCTTTCCTTAGAAGTCTTGTCTCAGAGGTACCTAATCATTTTTGTTGCCTTGTGCCCTTTCCAAACTGTCCACATCTTTCTTGGAAGTGTAGGGCCCGAAACTGGATATGGTATTCCAGATGTGACTTTACCAGTGCTAAATCCCTCACTTGATTGCAAGTGGCACTCTTGTTAATTCAGCCTAGGATGCTGTTGGCTTTTTTTGCAACAAGAGCACCTTGTTGACTCACACTCAGGTTGTGGTCCACTGTAATCCCCAAGTCCTTCTCTGCAGTACTACAGCCAGTCCAGTTATTCCCTAGTCTGTATTTTTACATACAGTTATCCTGTCCCAAGTACAGGACTCTGCACTTGTCTTTGTTTAGTCTCAGTTGGTTGTTTGTGGACCATTTTTCTGAAGTGATATCTGGAAAGCTGACTAAGGTTTGGTGTTTGCTTGTTTTGTTTTAAAGAAATTTTCAATATGTTAAAGTAACCTTACAGGAAAATGTGTCAACCCTTCTGAACTCTTGCAGTATCCAGATGTTCTGACTTGTCTGTCTTTCCCATGCCTAAAAATGTGATAAATGGCAATAAATCAGTATAGCAGCAGTGACAAAAATAGGTGAACACTTGATAAAAACTTGACTTTCTTTCCATGGAATGTTCAAAATTTCACTGAATTTTAGTGTTCCACCTCACATGCAAATAATAACTGAATAAATGTATTATAAATGATAAATATTAATTTAATTTTTCCTTGTTTCAGTGACTTTTCCAACGGTGGAGATGGAATGTTAGCTACAAGTTCCAATGGATCACAGTACAGTGGCTCCAGAGTTGAAACGCCTGTCTCTTATGTTGGAGATGATGAAGATGACGATGACGACTTTAATGAAAATGACGATGATGACTGATCCCCTTTGTTTGTAGACTTTATTTTTTGTTAAAATTCAGCAAGCTTCAGGAAATAAATTGTTCTAGGGAGAAAACACTCAAATTATTTTGCCCCATCCCTCAAGGAAAATATTGGTAAGCAGTTCTGAGTTTAGAAATTGCACCTCTGATAAGCAAACAAGGATTGTTTTATGTAGGATATTTTTAAATGTGGTGTGGATGTGTGTTTTGATACCAGTGTGTTAATGCAGAGCCTTTATTTACTCTTTAGTTTTTTTACTTGAAGGAAAATGCATTTTGCCCCAAATGTTTTTTCCTAATTTTGCTAAAGAAAATGTAGACACATCAATGAAAAATAAAATGCTATCCTTCTGTGGAAAATGAATACACTGAATGACCATTTCTTTGGAGTGTATTTTGATTATACCACTTTTTGAGGGATAGCAAGCTAATGTAGTAGTGGTTTTCATTAATCATGCAGTGTCCAAAGAAACAAACAAAAGAGATACGTCCTACTTTTTTACATGTTAAATTCCAGAAATGTTGTTGTGAACTTACTTTCCCTTAAATTATATATAACATTGTAATTCCATCGGTTTTATATATTGTTTTCACTGTATGTTGAAACATAAAATTACAAAGTTTTTGGCAAATGTTTACTGCCAGCTGGTGCAGGTGTATAAAATGTCTTGAAGGTTTGGAATGATTTATTGCTTATGGTAAATTTTGCCTGATTTCTTACAGGCAGACTTTGGAAACTTTTTATTATATAGTTGTTTACATACTTATAAGTCTATCGTATAAAGACATGTACTGAAACAAATGTTTGTATTTGTTTCATAAGCATCTTCCTGTAATCTATTATAAAGTTGAAATTAAATATAGAGAATGTTTTAAGTTTTTTAACTCAAAATTTGTCAATCATTTTTAATAGTTCATTTTTATAAAAGGAATTTCAGGGCAGGTGGTAGTCTTTTTAAATTTATTCACAAAACAATTAACTGCACAAATACTGTCAGCTGCCTATTCTAAGACAGTAGTCTTTTTATTGAAACACAAATAAACTTCTGTAATATTTTATGGACTATAAAGAGACTTTAATTGTTTGACTTGTTTAACCTTGGCACTGTTAGTTTTTATTAATAAAACGCGCATGGGCATTTTTAACAAGCTCTGTGTTTTTCTAATTTAGGATTATTCTACTTAGAACATTTCAGCTCATTCAGGGGCTTATTGGATTGTCTGAGTGGTGATTTTGGAGGCCTGAGAGCAATGGTTCCCAAACTAGAGTTTGCAGCACTTTATAAGTGGGGTTGTAAGCGACATGTATTCTGTTGGAAGAGTTGGGCTCTTGCTGGAAGTGGGGCATGGAATCAGAAAGATTGGGAACCACTGGTCTAGAGGAACTCTTTTGTTAATGCGTTATCAACCTGATGTCACCACAGATGGGTGCGTTTCTTTGTGGTGTTGATGTGAGAAAATATCCTTCCATAGCAGCTGAGTCAGCTCCTCCCTTCCTTTAGCTCTTCAGTAGGAGAAGTCACATCTGCATCTGCAAAGCCTATCAGTAGTTAAGTGGCAGCCCAAAGACTTCTCTGGCTCATATCTTCAAGCTTCCCCTGAATTATAAAGTTCCAGCATATCATCTACAGTTGGACAGAGGAAAGAGAGGCTTTGAGAAAGCTAGGACAGAGAGAAAGGGAAGGTTCAAAGTTTCAGAGTGAAGAGATAAAGGTAAAGGGTATAAATCAGTGATTTTTAGACTGTGGAGTAGTTTCGTAGGGCTCTTGGTCTTTGGCAGTGGGTATGAAAAAATGGGGGGGGGGAGTTCTAAAAGCCTCTCCTTTCTTGACTTCTTGTTTCTGATTAATCTTCATGAATTTCAGCAAGAGGGTCTGAAATCGAAACAGATCTGGGGTAGGGAAACTACTCTGTACAGCTCCTCTCCAGAAACAAAGGTGGAAAGCAAAGAATATCCATCAGTTCTTTAAACCACTTGCCAAGTTGCAATTACTACTCTCTTCAAGAAATCACTTGTTCATAATGGAGCTCTTTGGCATCTTGAGGGAGAGGCAGGGTAGCATAAAAGCATGGATTAAATTCACCTAACTGAAACACAAGCCCAGCTAGCTTTGCATGCGGTCTTAGTAATAAACCTTGGTACTGTCAGTGTACCAAGTGACAGCTTGGTACCATCAGTGCAAATACCAAAGCAATGATGTCAGTCCTATTCAGTTGCAAGATCTGGTTGTTGGAAAGTTTGAAAAACACTTTCTACCTCCCTTCTCCCCCCACTTTTAGGATACCAGTGTACAGCAAAATTGAAAGTCCTTGTGAAGAAGGCTATCAGGAAGTTGGAAGTATTTTCCCACTCCTTCAGTAAATAAGGATGACATTAAATATCTACTTGGGGATTTAAAACAAAATTAAATCCTAAAATTTTAAATGAAGTCCTAAAAGGTTTGATTTAAGTAGATATTTTCTCTCTGTGTTTTAATTTTTCAATAAATCTTGGAACACAAGAGACATTCTAGAAGAATGGAAGACTACTACCATTGTACATATTTTCAAAAAGAACAACCCAGCAAACTCTGATATCAGGCTGCCAGGCCTCACTTTACTTCTTTTTTTTTTTTTTTTTTTTTTTTATAAAGGGTGTTGACTTTAAAAGAATTAGACATATTATATTATTTTTATCGAAGTGGTAGTTCTAATAGAAAATAGATCTTCCTAAACAAACCTAATTTCTCTGGGGAGGTTAAGAGTTGGGTGTTTAAATCATATGGATGTTTAGAGTAGAAAGTGTGTGTGATTTATTGGATCAACCGTATATACATTTTTAGTAATATTTTAAAGTTGGTGCAGTAAAAGATCATAAAAACCTTTTACCTCTCATAGATGCTTAGACTATTTTAAGGTGTTTGACTCAGTACAGCATGATATCCTAATTAAAAATAACATCAATACTACAGAAACCACAAAGCCGAAGTTAAATGGATTAAGAGCTGGCTAAATGACCATTTTAAAAAACCATATCACTGAATGGGAGTGGTTTTAGTGAGGTTCTGCAGCAATCACTTTAAGATCATTGATGCAAAATATTCCAACGTAAGTATAAAATCAATGCTGATAATAAAAAAGAAACTTATAAATAATGCAGATTAGCAGAGTGGTAAATGATGATGAAGACAAAGCCAGCAGGATCTTCCTCTGCAAGAGAAGCAGGAGGATTTTTATGCTCGTTTCTAATAGCTCAATGGGCAAATGGTATGGTTATGTACAAATGGTACTGGTTAACATTTGAGCATTTTGGTTCACAATTTTTTGTTGTTTTCATAGTTTTAAATGCTATTTTGGGAAAAAAATGTGTAATGAAATATAAACCAGTGCTTCAACTGCTGTGCCATTTTATTTTTCCTAATACCTCAGCTGTTTCTACAGTGTCCAGTAAGTAGTAAATATACAATGGTTATTCTATGGTTAAAAAAAGTAACTGAAAATGACATCTTGATACTATGTCCATGTTTCTCATGAGTCATTTCTGCTTCATTTTAGAAGAAAGCTGTTTTATACAACTGTTTGCACTAAGACATCAACATATGGTTGTCATGGAAGAGCAAGCTGTTTTGTTCCACATAGTATGTCATCAAGAAAAATCCTTCTTGCTTGTTGCATTGTAAATGATACTGTGGATTTTTTGATCTGTGGATGATCTTTCAGTACTGGCATTTAAAATGGCTTTTGTTAAACTGCAATCTGAGCAATTTTGGTGTAAAATCATTGAGAGAAAATAAATACAAAACAATGTAGTGACACCTAAATCACTCTTCATAGCACACTTTTTAGAAATGTTTTCATTTGTACTATAAATGTTACTGTTGTCTAATCTTGTATTGTCAGTCTGAATTCCACTTTTCCTTCGAATGGGTCATGAATATTATCTGAGATGATTCCAGTTCCAACAATTCTGCACACTATGTTAACTTCTGTATTCTTTGGAATGTTGAGAAATCTCACTGCTACCAAAGGGTTGGTATAGGTGGGCTAGGATGAAAGAAAAAGGAGGTCTTAAAACTTTTCTTAAAAAATTATGCTGTCAATTTAGAAATACATCTTGTACATTTAATTTCTGTTAAATTCACACAATTTTACAGAAAAAAACTTGAAGGAAAAATGAGAGTTTAGAAGTGTATACCTGTGCTTTCTTTCCATAATAAGGGAAGTAGTGAAGGTTAAAGGTACCATTGACTGGATAGTATTGAACTTCAAGTGGGCTGGAATCATCATCCTGTTTTTGAAGAAAAGAGGATTATTAGCAATATAACTGTAAACTTTGCCCGGAATGTTGTTGATACTGAAACCCATATAGTATTCACTGAAGTCCCAGTTCAATGGTCCACTGCTTGTCAGCACAGCACTTAAGAACATGCCTAACATTTTATGCCCCAGTTAAATTAATTCTATAGACTCAGCTCTCATTAATAAATCAGTAGATATCTAGTTGTAAAGATAAATTATCATGATATTTGAGACTTTAACTAGTGCCTGGATTTCTGCCTATATCAGAGAGAGTCCATAACAATTGCTTTGAGTAGTGAATTCCCTACTCATTTCAATGAATACTAGCTCAGATGCCAGTGATTATATTTAAAGAGCAATATATTTAATTATTTTATCAAAATGCATAAGGGAAATAGTTTTTATGAAGAGCTTTAATATCTGATATTTAATATGTATACTCCCTTAAATAAATATTTACAAGCACAGTTTTTAAATGACCAAATCTCATATAATTAAAATTTTAAAATGTGAAGAGACCTCTGTCAACCCAGAGTTTCTGGGTTTTAGATGTTATTTTAGTAAAAATAGACCTTCCATTTTCAAAAGTATGTGTGGTAAGAGATAAGATGGCAGCAATAGCAAAAAATTGAGACAGATAATTTCCACTACTGTAATATCTGCAATATCTGAACAGTTTCCAAATGACTTTAAAAAACTTCCCTTTTTGACTGTTCTTGGTGCAGAAAGAGGTGTATAGCTCAGAATACCTCAACTGAAAGAACAATTAGACACTGCAATGAGTTATAAATTCACTGTTTTGTTAAATCAAGTTAACAGTCATTTATTTGTCTTAAAAGATAAAGAGAAATCACAGTTTACATGCGTTAGAGCTGCACTGCTTAGATACTTTGAAATATAAGCTCTGGAGACTTACTTTATTCGTGCAGTTTACCCTTGGTGCAGTGCCATTGCCAGGGAGAAAATGGATAATCTGAAATAACAAAAAGTTCATGTTGTTCAGCTCAATGACTTGTTATTTAAAATTGACAAAGCAATAAGTTTAGATTTACATGCTGCTTTATCTGAAACTCAGTAAGAATTATGAAACTTAGGTCACTTACTTTTATGTAAGCATAAAAAACCTTGCCATAAAACATCATATGGCAATATGCAACACTATTCTGTTACTTCACAGGGGCTAACTGATTAAATTGTGTATGTTCATCACGGTAATTTTCAGTGAGCAGAAGCTTATTAATGCACCTTATTAAAACTTGCTCCCTCCAATGTCCTAACATCTCATCACTGGCTTGGGCTACCCTTTGCAGATACAAAATAGCAGAATCTGTATCTCTGTGAGCAAGGAAGGACATAATCCTCAGTGGAGACTGTAAGGCAGGCTCTCCTCCTTGTTGCTGAGCCTTGAGGTGGTAGGAGGCCTGAAAAAGGCCTTGCTGGTGAATGCAGCAGCTTTCTGAAAAGAGTCTGTTCTTTATCTGCCAAAGCCAGGCATCTAAGCTTCCACTCCTGGAAGCTGGCCCTTGAAGCTTGCTAAGTAGCAGCAATCACTAATGACTACAGTGTAAGTCAGAAGCCCAAAAATTAAACAATTCTTCACAGGTGACCAGAAAAAATATCTTTCTTTATCCTATACTTAAACTGAATCAAAAAGCCTGGAATCTTAATGGGCCATTCCCTGAAAAGGAAAACAAAAAACTAGTTTTGTGGTCTTCATACACTGATACATTGTAAAAAACAAAACCTGAAGTTCTCTTCCATGTCCCTCCCCCCAATATTTTCTTATTTAAAATGATCAAGCCTTGTGTTCCTAGTTTCAGCTGGAGGCTTTCTTGAAATCTGGAGAATGAGTCCATGAGCTATCAAGAATATTATACTGTTCCAATTGCAGGTGTATGTAAGAAACTCAGGTTAAGAAAGAAGATCTTGACATTTCAGCAAAAAGTGTATTTTTTTCCCTTAGGGGTTTTGTCAGGTGCTTAAAGTTAAATTGATGTTAACAAAAAGCAAATGAAAAACGCAGTTGTGAACAATCTTTTTAAAACCTGTTTTCCTGTTAATTGCTCAAGTTTCATTTTCTTGGCATTTGTGATATCATAATCATACTGATTCTCTAATAAATATTTGGGTCTTCACAGAAATGGACAATACCTGAAGTACTGAAGCAAGTCAGAATGTACATTCTAAAGCAATATACCATATATTATGCCCTAAAATATATAATTTTTTTCTGCTTATTTTATCAAACAGCTAACAGATCATGCTTTTTCAGCATGTTGGATTGGTACTTACCCTGTTCATTTTTATAATAAAGCATGGCTTTCCTTCTGGAAATCCAAAATTGGGATCTGTCAGGCCTGAACAGTTTTCAAGCATGTCTGCTGTGAACTTGCAGGAGAATTTTGTTTTATTTGGACCAAGGAATGATTTCTGGAAGAAGTATATCTCACTTGAGCAGTTGATGTTATTACGTTGTGCAGTTGTATTGTATGCTGTACATGTAACAACAAGGAAAAAACTTAATTTCTCTACCAGTTTTGTGTCCTTGAAACATTTCACTGGGACATTCTAGTTCCTGATACCATTTACAAGTTCTTGTTTCTGATGGATAGAATGGTGTCAGATAGTATTAGAAGGTTAAGTTACATTGTTTATAAACCTACTTTCAAATGGAATTATGGTTGACTGTATATATTAATAATTCAAAGTAAAATTAATACCAGGAATGTTATAATTATTCTAAAAATAAGCATTATAAATGCCAGGAATACAAAATTACAGTTCAATTGACAATAAATACAAATATTTAACTGCTATGGTACAGTTACATCACCAACACAGCTTTGAATGCCCCCTATAATAACACCATGGCATGGTGTTCACTTTATGGTTTCTCTCTGCGCCAGATCCAGTAAAAGACTTGGGTACTTAACAAATGGCGTCTATAACGTCTATATCATAGACACCTCTACCCCAAGGTGGAATGCAAAATCCAGAGCCATTAGTGTTTTGAGCCTTTCTGGAGATCAGCCCTCTGGGGATATAATTGCTGCTCCAGCTTGATTCTGGATCTAAATAGGGCCTACCTGCTCAGCATGGTAGATTTGAGCATGTGCAGAAGATGGAACTGGAGGACCTGGGAAGATTTTAGGACAAGAAGTGAGTATAGGTGCCTCCAGGGGTACATGTTTGCTTTGTAGGGATTTTTTGGATTCCAGGTTTTTTATTTGTGGGCCTAAAATCCATCTAAGTCCTCTTTTAGGATCTGACCCACTGTTTTTAGGACCATTTCTGATGAAAAGTGATGTGAAAAGGATCTTTATTTTTTAAGCAACACATTTCCCATGAACTTGATTAATAAATTAATCAACAGGTTTACTTGTTAATTTTCAAAAAAGATAATACTCAAAGAGTATACTCTTATATAGTAAATGTTTTATAATTTTGGGAGGATACACTGTGTTTTTCATACAACCCCCCGCCCCCCCCTCAAAGTTGAATCTCTGCTTGAAGTGCAAAACTCAATTCAGCCTTCACAAGAGAGCTGTAACTGGTGCTTCCTTAATGTTATGCTTGAATAAATATGAACTATATTTTCTTCTCTCACCTGAAAGAAAAGTGTGAAGTGCAGTTACAAGTCTTCCCCAGGAGTGTGTGTCACTAATATTATAACGAATGTCCAGATCTTCATCCGCATAAACGTCTGGCCGTAATGTCACACCTTTATGAAAGAAAGAAAAGAAAAACCATCCTTGCGCTGATTATTTGCCAGCAAGCTTTTCACTTGCTAGATATGAAGAGAGGAAAATTGACCATTTGCTTACAAACAAGTCATATCATTTGCGGGTGGGAGGATATAATTTGGAGTAGTGTTCTGTAGCTAAAAGCAGTGGGTTTTCTTTTCCTTTGCTTAAAAATGGTAATTAGGAGAAGCCTTAGATTGGATATTTTGGTATTAACTTGTTGAACACCTGTTTTTCCCAGGTGTTAAACACGTTTTGCCTTTTCCCACTCTATTCCATTTTTCTCTTGGTTGATTTCCAGCTGTTTTTTGTTTGTGAGCAGACTTATGCTGGACGCAAGCAGGGGTGTCCATATTAACCTAGGTACTTCTACCCCTACTTACTCAATTTCTGACCCTGCGGATTCTAAGAGGTTGGGGTAATGCAGTGATGGGTGACCCTATCTGCACGTGAAAGGGCAGAGATCAGACTGTGGAGGATATCTTCCATACATGGTTTTCATGTGCATACTCAGGCACTAGTACTTTAATAGTTGAAGCCAGAATGTTCAGAGAAGTATAAAAGTAAATGCAGATTTTTCAACCTTGGATTTTCTTTTCATTTGTGTTTAACTTTTGGACTACAGTTGGAGCATGTTTTTGCTTTACCCAAGTCAGTTCTACCAATCTCCATCTCCCATTGCCCCATTAGTTGTGAGACTACTTCCAGTGCCAATCAATTTAAGTAAACTACTGTGTTGTTATACAAAACAATGTGATTTTGATAGTTTGGCCATATGATGTGAAACAGACAGAATTATAACAGTACCTGGCGATCTTAATTGATCTTGATAGTCCGGTGTATATGGATTTATTGTTCTCATTAAGGAATATAGGGAAAGTGCAAACAGCCCAGTTATCACCACATAGAAGGCCATGTAGTACAAAATGATCCACACTGCAAAGGAAATGTATGATTTAGAATATATAGTTAAAGTGAATTCTGCATATAAGCATTCCACAGCACCATTGTTTTGCCGTCATTCCCCACCACCGCCTTTGTAAATGCTGTCATAGCCAAAGACAGGAAAGTAGAGTGGCAAAATAATGAATGTGTCACCTATTTCTACATGGCCTCAATTGTTACTGGGCACTTTGCCAACAACAAAATATTAAAATTTCAAATTGATTTAAAATTAAAATTCAAAATAAAACCCTTTTGACTAAATAAAATTTGACACACTGTATCTCAGAAAAATGTCTTGCAGTCAAATTCTGGTATCTCACGAAAGGGGTAAGGAAGGGAGAGATTAGAATACGTGGGAAGAATGAAAAGTCGTCTTAACGTTAGTAAGAGTTGGGCCCCTCTGACTGTAGACCATATAATTATATCGCATGTTATTAAAAGATCTGGCTCTGGGTGGATGAATAGACATCAGTGTGCTGGGATAAAATGGCAAATGTGCTAATCAAACAGGAGTTCAAAAATAATTTTAGAGAGGAAAATTATATTTCCAGATATTTGGACTAGAAATGATTTTCTCATTCTTCTGACCTGGTCTTGAAGAGTTAAAAACACACACTGGGAGTGCATTGTTCATGCTGTTTTCATGGGCTTTAGATATAGAAGCCAGTAGAATCTTTGTCATTGACTAAAGTGGGAGCAGGATCGAGTCCTTAGTCCTTTCAGTTTTTCTCATAAATCAGTTCTACTACTTAATATTTCTGGTTGCTGTTCATTGTGCTCATTCCAGTTTTCAGTGATTGTCTTTCCTTGCCTTGTTTTAATTCATTTTTAAATCCATTCATTTTATCCTGACAGTTATTTAGACATTTTAACTATGGCAATAAAACCCTTGTATTTGTGAAGCATCATTGAAATACCAAATCTCTTCGTTCTATAATTCCACAGTCAGAAACATTTCAGGAAATTAACGTGGGCTGTAACAAAATATTTCACTGACCTGCAAAGATGAATCATAACTGTAATAAAAATCAGTCATCTGTAAAATTGGTAATCATAAAAAATCCAACATTTATATGTTATTTCAGTCATTTAAAAATATGCAGTTTTCTAACAATACCACAAAAAAGAAAAGATTCTTGTTTTTGTAGATGAACACAAACACATACCCCACTTAATCAAGGTTCTTCCCATAAACTGCTTTGTTTCTGGATTCCACATAAAACGGCTGAAATCTTCCATCCGTTGGCTGCAGGTTTTTTTTTCATTAAAAGTTGCCATTTTCTTAGAAAAATCTGGTCCCACGTCCCAAAGAAGTCCCTTAGAAATCAAGAAATTAAACTGATGTCCAAACGGCTGTTCAAGAAAAATACTTTGGTTTTTATACCTTTTTACCCTGAAGGTCAATCAGATTGCATCCAATATCAGTGAAACCACAAGCAATTATCAACCCAGTTCAGATATTGTCTTTTATGTCATTATTGACAATGTACTATGTTCAGACTGGCAAGGAAAAATTTCTTGCTATCAAATGTCCTTCTACTTTCTAATACCTCAATCTGTGGAGTTACGCATTTTGCTCACCACCTTCGAGCTTGTGATATATTCAGTGTGATAGCTATTATCAAGACAGATAAAGTTAAGAAAGACTGTTCCCCTGGTGTTTTTTTTAAATAATCTACAACCACCTGATCAAGTTCCTCCTGTGGGCCCACAAGGAGTAAGTAATTGCAGATTTGGTGAAGTATCCAATATTCAGTTTGCCCATTTTCACAACCAGAAAAGAAATTTGGGATTACTTTTTCTCTACTATCTACTGGAGGCTCTATTCTAGTGCACTATCTCAAGAAACAAGGCTGCATCTGACCCATTTTATATCCCTGTCTCTTTCTCACCACCACAACTAAATGAAGACTGGATCCAGCAGGAAAGCATGATTATGATAAAAGGCAGTTTTGTTGTATATGCGGGCAAGGAAGTAGGTTCAGATGCCATGGGTTTACCTTAACTTTAGCATTCCTGACTTTTGATTATTTTGCTTTACAACCTGGAGCTCTGTTGCTGCAAATGTGTATGCTTAACTTTACATGTTGTGAGCAGTCCAACTGGAATAAATCAATTATGGTCCCAAAAGTCTCTGTAGGATCAGAGCCTAAGTGTTCTTGTTTTCTATGGGGGGGTATGTGTTTTTGTTTTATTTATGTATTTTTTATGTAAATGTTGAACTTCGTATACACAGAAAATAGGAGTGGGTTATGGTAACTTCTAGCATATGTTATTAGGCAACGTATCAAACACATCAGGTAAGAACATTGGATGAACAGACAAAAGCCAAGAAATATGTTCTCTGTCCAAGGAATCACCAGGAATTATTCTTCTGTGCTTGATTTAACAAAGAACTACTTGCACAATTAGCTCTGTGCATGTAAATTATTTAACTGTTTACATAAATGACCACATGTAGCTCCTTGTGCATAGAATTGACCAGTACATACCAAAATCATAATTCTATTGACAAAGTGGATGGCTAATCGCTAGGGACCTACCGAATTCACAGTGGAAGTAGAGTGCATGGTGGCTCCTTTAATCTTGCATGTTTCCCTGCATGCACCTCGCCCCTGGACCTCCCCCCTCCAAACTGCTGATTAGCAGAGGATCCTGCCACTCCCTCCTGATCAGCAGGGAAGTTAAAACTGCTGTTTTAAACATGGCATCATTTTTGCCTTCCCACCAGTCAGCAGCAAACAGCAGAGCTGCCTGGGGTACCTCAGCCAATCGGTGGCAGGAGGCAAAAATGGCACCATATTTAAAACTGCAGTTTTTGCCTCCCCACTGATAAGGAGCGAGCCACAAGCAGGGCCCCTCCACCAATCAACCGAGGGAGTGCAGGGGAACCTGCAAGGTTAAAGGAGCCACAGCACATCCCACTTCCACTGTGAATTCGGTAGGTGCCTACTAGTAATTATATATGCACTTTCCACACAGCATTGTGCACATAAATTGCAGACTTTCCAAGTATTATTAGAAAAGGGAGAACTGTTTGTGTGTATCTTTCTGAGCTAAGTAATAGACTGCACATAAGGAGAAATGGTGCCGAAAATCCATACTCTTGTAACAGTCTAACTTTGCCATTTCTTTTTTAAGCACTTCCTGGTCTGTTGTCAGGATTCCTAGAGGTAAGAACACTTTGCACTTTCTTCAATGTTATCAAAATGACCGAGCTTCTTGGGGCCGTGTTCTTGGCTGAGAAATAGATTAAAAGACCTCCCCTTGGTGGGGAAGGCAGCACAGCTCTACTTCTGTCTCCAAGAGTTCTGTCACCAGCAGCTTTAAAGACACAGGGATCTGTTCTGCGTGGCATGCATTAACCATCAATACATGACACAAATGGAATTAAAACTTGCTATATATGTGCAGTGTCCTCCTTTTTTCTTTCCAATATATCCATCGCCACAAGAAAATGTCGATTTTGCCAAAATATGCTGAGTTTTGGTTGGGAATTTTTTGTTAATGCTTGCTTTCAAGTTGAGCTGATCTGAAACAAAATGTTTCCACTGGTCAAATTGAACTGAAATACATGGTTGGGGATCAGAACATTTGTCTACATCTCTCTGAGCTGCCCTGGTGGATCATAGCTGTGATAGTTCACATGCCTCCCCTGTGAGCCATGCTTCTCACCAGACTACAAAAGCTAAGTCCAAAGTAAGATGATGGTGTCTTGGCAGTCCCATGACCATCATGCTAGAGAGACAGAGTCCAGCCAAGCACATCAGGTACCTATGCAAAAGTTCCCACAGAGGTACTGTGGTAACAGGCAAGCACTCCTGAGCTGTTTGGAGGGGAAACATTTTGACATTTCTGAATCAGAACTTTTCATCCTTTGAAACATTTTGAAATGTTGACCTCTCATCTTAACTCTAAGCAACATCCAATATTGTTGCTGTTAGCAAACTGTGTTCTCCCCTCACCTACTCTCCTTCTCCTTCCAAGGCAACCCTCCTTTTTTAGCATTCTTAGCTGCTCCAGCCCCAGTCAGAATAATTCTATGTGGGTGCTAGCATTATTTATTCCAATAATGCAGCTCTACTCTGATCAAAACTTTGCAAAGATGGAACTGCTTCTGTGTTTATTGTGGTTTTGTGAAGGGTGGAATCAGCACGCTCTGCAGGCAGATTTGAGGTGTGTGTAAATGCGTTTCAGAATGATTTCCTGAAATGTAGCACTGCTTTTGATAAAACCTTTGATACTGCTGTAATAGGCCCAAGATTTTAAAATGATACCAGTGATGGTATCTGAATGGAAAAATATATATCTTGTCTCTGTAACAGTATTATTTCAAACTAAAATCTAGCATTTTCCATATTTTCAAATCTGTCTTCATTAAATTTGTTTTTCCTAAAACATATCTACTATATATTCTGTTCTCCTTAAAATACTATGAGACAGATTAAAGGATTCTAAAATATTCCAAGATTAATGGTGCCCTTTATGAGTAGAGACAGTATTGATTTGAAGAGCTTTTGAAAACTTCCAATGGAAATCTGGGGATTTTCCAGTTTTCCACAAATTGACTGCCTCATCATATATACCATATTTATCAGAATCCAAGACAAGAGGACCCCCCAATAATTAGATTCTGTACATGGAAAATTTATACATAGAAACTAATTAAGGGAGGGTCATCTAAAATTTGTCATGCCCCTCCCCACCTCCACTGCTGCAACAGGAGAAGCAGCGGCAGAGGGGGAGGCAGGGAAGCAGATGGTAGGAAGAGCAGGTATTAAGGGATAGGCAGAGGGGGGATCAAGCAGCCTGACCCCTGTCCCTTACTCCCGGCTGTCTTTCCCCTCCACCACTTGCTCAGTTGCTGCCTGCCCTTCCACCACCTCTGCCCCCGCCTCTGCCCCCTCTGTAACCTCAAATCCCCATTGCTTCTTCCCCCCATATCTCGTCTCCCCCTGCAGCCTCTTCCCCCATCCCACACCTGCCCTCTTCCCCTCCACTTACCCTTGCTCTTGCCCCAGCCCAGACTGGTAGCAGCAGTGGCAGTGTGGCAGTTCTGCTCACAGCCCCAGCTCTGGGGCCTGGCTGGAGCTACTGTCACCACTGCTACAGGTCAGACTGGGGCCAGAGTAAGCATATGCTCCGTGCCCCAGGCTGGAGCAAGGGCAAGTGATGGTGGAGGAGAGATGGGAAGAAGAGGCTGGGGGAGAGGAGACCCTAGTTTGCAGGGGGGAGGGGAAGGAGCAGGCAGAGGGCCTGAGGCTGTGGTGGGGGAGAATCAGGGGACCAGAGAGCACTCGGGGTTCTGGCCCTTACCTCAGGCTGGGGCCAGAGGCAAAGCTGCACCAGTAGCCTGTCCCCAAACTGCCTTGTACTTGAAAGATAAATGGGAAAAATAACCTGGTCTTGGGTTTGAATAAATACAATATACATATATATTTACTTGATTCCAAGATGAGGTTTGTATGCTCTCCATCAACTGGTGGGAAAATAAACCTGGTTTTGGATTCAAGTACCAGCTTTGCCCTCTCCCCAGTTTTGGTCTAGGGCCAGAGCTGGAGCTGCTGGGTCTGCTGTTATTACTGCTGCTTGAAGCCAGCAGCAATCTAAGGAGTGCAGGTTAGACCAGGGCTAGGGTCCAGGATGGGTGGATGCTGGGGTTGGGGTTTGGATCGGAAATTTGGCAGGGGATGGCACAACAAACATACTGCTTCTCTCTTCCCTGATCTGTGCTGCTGCTCCATGCCCCCATTCGCACTGCTGCTGCATCCTCTCACCTGCACTGTTGCCTGATCAGCAGCACAGGTCAGGAGATGGGGCAGCCATGCAGGTCAGAGATAGGGATGCAGTGCACACTCCTGCCCCATCCCTTGATCCACACTCCTATTTGGCAGCAGCTGCATCCAGTGGCAGCAATGTGCACTGCTTCCCTTTCCCCTGGTGTGCACTGCTGCCAGTCAGGAGCACAGGTCCAGGGGTGCTGCAGCAGTGGGTCAGGGGATAAGGCAGCAGCACCTGCAGGAGTTGCGTGGGGGATGGGGAAGTAGCACCTGTAGGGGATCAGGCAACAGTGAGAGCTGGAGATCAGGTCAGGTGGCAGGGGTGCAGGCAGGAGGGGTAAAGTGGTGGGGAATGGGGGGCAGGCAATAGGGGCGCAAGTGGGGGAGTTGAGGGAGCAAGGTGCAGGGATCAGGCTGCCTGTCCTACCCCCCTGTGTGGGGCGGGGGGAAGGTGATGAATTTAAGATGACCCTGCAATAATTAGATCCTATACATGGA